GGGAAGTGCCGTGCCAGTCAACAGGATATTCCCCTTTTGAATTATTATTTGGAAGAACCGTACGAGGACTTTTGACTGCTGTCAAACACGCTTGGGTTTCTTCGAAAATATCGGAAGACTACCTAGATTATGTATTAGAAACCCGTAAAAGATTAACACAAATGCAAGAAATTGTTCATGAAAATTTGAAAGGAACACAGGAAAAACAAAAGAAATTATATGATCGGCAGAGTTCCCGAAGGCTTCTTGGGGTGGGAGATAAGGTGTTAGTGTTGCTCCCTACGCTCGGAAGTAAATTAGAGATGAAATGGCAAGGATCCTTTATTGTAAGTAAAGTGTTTGAGAATGGATTAAATTATGTTGATAGGGGAAAGGGGGACAAACAAAAACGTGTATATCATATTAATTTATTGAAACTGTGGAAGACTCGGGAGGAGTTAGCAACATTTTCGTGTTCGGGCCCTATAAGTCGTGAGAAACAGGAGGGTTGTAACCCTTGGGGAAATCAAAGAGAGACTTGGCGTGATGTGGAAATTTCCCCTGAGTTAAGCAACGAACAATTGAGTGCTATACAACTTTTGTTACAAGAATACTCGGATATATTTTCTAACATTCCAAGTATAGGACATCTGTGACCAAACACAAAATTGATACAGGCGAAGCAACCCCTATTAGGTCACCTCCCTACCGAATACCGCAGAGTTTAATAGAAAGGGTAAATGATGAATTGCACCAAATGTTAGAGATGGGCATAGTTAGACCATCGAAAAGTCCATGGGCCTCCCCTATGGTTATAGTGCCTAAACCGGATGGCACAATCAGGTTTTGTGTTGATTTTAGAAAATTGAATAATGTCACCAAAATGGATGCATATCCCATCCCTCGTATGGATCAAATGTTGGAAAAGGTAGCCCAAGCTAGGTATATATCGACTCTGGATATGATCAAGAGGTATTGGCAAATCCCATTAAATGAGGATTCTATACCGAAATCTGCTTTTATAACTGCCCAAGGGTTATTTGAATTTACAGTCATGCCCTTTGGCATGAAAACTGCGCCGGCGACGTTTCAACGCATGATGAAACATGAGGTGTTAAATGGGTTGGAGGCTTTTGCGGATGCCTATATTGACGATGTGGAAATTGACACATCCACCACCTTTGAACAGCATTTAAAAGATCTGCGGCGAGTTTTTGATAGGTTACGTGAAGCGAAGTTACGCGCAAAGCCGTCAAAATGCAGAATTGCTATGCCTATGGTAAATTTTATTGGCCATAGGGTAGGTATAATCGCCCCTAGAGATGCGCTCATTGAAATGATATTGCAGTTTCCGAAGCCCAAAACGAAAAAACAAATTCGTTCATTTCTTGGTCTGGCCGGATACTATCGTCGCTTTATTGAAAATTTTGCGGACATTGCCACACCGCTTATTAACTTAACCAGAAAAATCGAACCTACGAAAGTGGTATGGACTAGGCAAGCAGAAGATGCTTTTTCTAAATTAAAGCAAAAACTGACATCCCCTCCGGTTTTGCGGCCTCCTTGCTGGGACCGTGTGTTTATTCTTAAGACGGATGCGTCAGGATACGGCATGGGCGCAATCCTGAGTCAGTTGGATGGTAACGGGGGAGAACATCCCACCACTGCCACCAATTGTGACGATTTCTATCGCCGACGTGGGCGCTGCAGTTCACAATAACCCAAGTCAATAAAACCCAATGTACTACAATTAACATAAAAGTTTTAATTCTGTAACTAGAAGTTACTATCGCAAGGAAAATGCTGCCTCAACCCGTCTTCCATCACACAAGCACGTAAGGCACCCTTAAGACACCAGGAAGTAGGAAAAGTGCAATTTGAATACGAAAACAGCTTGCACAAAGTCGAAGGTCAGCTAGATATTCTAATCATAAAGATTATAAATAACACTAGGAGAGGAATTGAGGTTAAAAATTTGGGAACACGTCTGTTGGGGGGGGGGGGGGGGGGGACAAATGTAGGTCCCGGATATAAAATCGTGCTCTCACCAATGGGAACACAAGTACACATGCAGGAATTTGCCCCCAATAGCAGGATTCCTTTTTTGCCTAATGTCAAGATTGCGATGCTTCTTCTAGTGTTATTTATAATCTCTATGATTCTATTAAATCCTATTGACTTCCAAAAATTCCTTACTCTTAAAGAAATTACTTCCTTGAAAATTCCTTCGTTCTAAAAAAAGGAAGGACTTTGTGAAAATCTACAGGTCATGCTATGCACATTTTTAATGGTTAATTGGCAATTTTAGCATGACCAGTTGTCATGGCTAGCTTGCCACTGAATACTGTACAATAACATGTATAACAAACAATAATAATACTTGAATGAATCATTGGATATGTAGAATTTAATTAAAATTTCATACATAAAAATACTACCAGTAAGGGCCTGTTCATATGGGCAAAAGTTACCCGTGTTAGCGAGAAAACTTTTCAACAAGTTTACAAGCGAGATCTCACCTTGGTATGAAAATAATATGAAAAGTTACATTGCGTTAATATGAGACAACAACTTTTTCCGTGTACCTTTCTGTTGTGTCAGCAATTCAATTCATGTTCAGCGCTACGTCACAGCTGGAAACTTTACCCGGTAAGCGAGGTAAAGTTTCTCCATGTGAACAGAACAAAAGTATTTGGCTAGTCGAAAAGTTTTCTCCTTAGACCCTGTTCACATGAACCCGGGAAGCGTTATGTGTCGGGGCAAGCAATTGTCGCGGGACAAAAATTGTCTTGGCTCCTCAGTAAAACAATAGTGCTGTTCACATGATATTTTACTTGTCCTGGGACAAGAATTGACCAGAGTGCCTCACTTCTGTAGACAGGGACACTCGCCTTGCTGGGACAACTTTTCCTCATGTGAACACTGTCCCGGGATAATTGAATTTTGGTGAAACGATCAAAATCGCGGTTAAAATTACATTTAGAGCACGTTGGACTCCACAAAAACTTGTTATTTGATTGACGATATCATTAGAAATCTACAAGTGATGATTCTAAAAATATTGAAATAAAATTGTCGCTAATATCATGTAGTATGTTACTGAAAGAATTTGATCTGGTCAACCAGAAACAATGAATTGAGCACATTTTATTACGGCTGATAATCAACTAGTACGTTCTATTTGTAAATATCATAACAAAAAATAACGACTTGCATTTATCAGAATGTTTTTTATTTAGCAATATTTCACCATTTCCCGTTGGCGGGAATATTTTGTGATTCCCGCGTAATGTATTTATTGGCATGACTCGCGCTAGCTTTGTTCATGTGAACAGAAGATATCAGTACCCCGGGTCAATGACTTGTCACGGGGCAGTTGTTTATCCCGGGATCATGTGAACAGGGCCTTAAACCGAGATAACTTTTGCCCATATGAACAGGCCCTTTGAAGTCAGTTTTGTCCCAACTACTTTATCATTTTAATGGCACCTTCAAGGCTACCCCTACTGTAGAACAACTGAACAATGAATCTGCCAATCGGGAGACAAACTCTATTTTGTTGACATTTTTTTTAATACATCAGCTTCAGATGACCATTATTTGTAATGACTATATATATAATAAGAAAGAAATTGTGAGCATTATTGTATACAATTGTGTGTTCCAATGTGGGCATCATACTGCTCGATTTAATAGTAGTCATCGCCCAGGAAAATAAAACAACTGCAAATGGCCACTATCGAAATTGTTCCAGGTCATGACTATTAAGACCAGTATTTCTCGCAGGCATCAAGCCTTGAGACTTCATTATGCATAAGTTATTTGATATACAGTAAAGCCCCACCAGTAGGTTAAGAACCACTATAGTCTGAAATTTTGGCAATTAAGCACCCAAAATACAAGTTTTTAAAAACTTTTTAAGTTTGGGTCACAACAACCATATTAGTGTCATAGCAATAGTTTTATGCAACAACAGTTCCTATTTAATATGTAGAATATAAAAAAGTATTGTGTGAAGCAAGTCAAAATTCACTGAACTTTTATGCGGGGCTTTACTGTATATCATAATCATTTTACTGTAATATATATTAACTATTTTTATTGGCAATTTTCTTATTGACACACAACCTATATATTTGTAACTTTTGATATACAATACCTTGATGACTTGATCTTTTGACAACACGAAACAACTTTATTATTGCCAACGATTGCCCAGCTAGCGAGATCAAACTTCGCTAGTATAAAATATAAAAATATAGCGAGTTCACACTTCGCTAGTATAAATATTATAGCGAGATCACACTTCGCAGTAGCAAGTTTGGCAATACAAGTACAGCGAGCTCACACTTCACTGCTTTTGAAACATATAAAATGAACGGTTCCCTTTGATTTGATTTGACCAAAATATCCCCGCGAACACACACCAAAATATACACCTAGAAGGGATAGAAATGTTGTAAATGTAAGTACAGTCGATGTATATATTAACTGCTTCATATTTAATACTGTAGACAGAAATGTTGTATATGTAAATACAGTCGATGTATATTACTGTAAAACCTATAGCAATTCAAGATAAATATAAACATACAACATTTCAGGATAATTTACTTTGAAACGACAACCCAAAACGGAAAGAGTATTCGATATTTTTTGAAACAATGTTGTTGTATTAAACTTGCCAACCACACCACGAGACTGATTCGGGAAGAAACCGGAAGTTATGCACTGAAACGAATCATACGTCACAAAACGTCATCAATCCATTGTTCTAAAATCTCGATTTTTTCTCCCTGTCTCCTCTACATAACTCGCGGAAAGCCTGGGAACGACAGAATTAGTATGCTGCCTCTACGAGGCAGCAATAATCCAAATCATAGTTAATAGAGGACAGGGTTTGGAAGGCCGGCAAACTTCAAAGGCTTTCGACCTAATTAATTTCAGATGTTGGAAAGGTACGTCACGTGACATTTCGGGTGCATCAAATTCAGAAATTACTATAGCGTAGTATTACAGAAATATGATATTGTGCTTATAAATTTTAAAACTAGAAATACATGCATGCAATAACCCCTCGCCCGTTTTCAAAAGATATATACTCAGTGCCGTTGCGAGCACTTCGTCGCAGGTACCCGGACATTTTGCCGAAAGACACTTTGCCGAAAGACATTTTGCCGAACGGACATTTTGCCGACGGTCATTTTGCCGAACGGACATTTTGCCGAACGGACATTTTGCCGAACGGACATTTTGCCGGGTGTGTGTGTGGTTAGATAGAGGGGGGAGGGGGGGGAGGTTACCAAAAAGTTTCCAGATGTACAAAAATTTTTCAGGACATATAATAATTTTTCCGAAAATACAGTTGTTTTCCAAATTCACTTTCTCAGTCATGTCCTGAGAATTACCTGAATTCCCCTGAAAATCTTCCGCAAATCTACTTAAATGTACGTACTAAAAGTGCACTGGAAATCTACCTGAAATTCATCATGAGCAATAATCAGTGGTGTTGCACCCCCCCCCCC